TGGAACAGGCTGCCCAGGGAAGTGGTTGAGTCTCCATTCCTGGAGGTATTTAAAAAAGGGTAGACGTGGTGCTTGAGGACATGGTTTAGTGGTGGACTTGGCAGTGCTAGGTTAACGGTTGGACTCGATGATCTTATGGGCCTTTGCCAATCTTAATGATTCTATGATTCTATGATTCTATCTGGCTTATCTCCTACTGACTAGAGCATGCAGAAAATATTGCTGCAAATACAGCAGTAAGACAACACAAATGTATGTGAAGCCATCACTTTACAATTACCTTAAATACACATACGTTACGATATTCTCACACCTATCAATACAAGTGAAGAACAGAAACTCTCCATTCCCTCTCTTCCTAGTCATCTTATGAAAATTTGACAAACAGAAGAAAGCAAGCATAAATATCTGCAGAAATAGCAGATAAATCCCCTCTATTGTAAGAGTTCCTAGGCTAGCTATTGGTACAGAAAAAAGGTTTAGGAAACAGTAGCAAAAGCAAATAACCAGGGCTAAATCAAACATTTTGACTAACCCTCAACCTAGGCAGCAATGGCAACTGATAGAAATACCAAGCTGTACTTAGATCCTTACCTTTAAGCAAACTGAATATTTTCTACCTGCAAAACTTCTCGAAACTACCACAATTTTGTAGCAGTGATCAATGACAGTACTAAAACCATGGCCTTTTCATCTTTCTAATACTTTTTAGAAACGTAAGTTATCAGTGTTAAATATGGGTTGGTGGTTTTTAAATTACTGTCTGGGATAAAGCATTAGCTGACATGTGACTCAAACCAGTTTGCGCTCTCCTAAGTGACTCAAGAAATAAGGCTGGGAAAAGACCACAACCTTCCCCGCCCTTCCAAATAACTAAAGTGCACTGGCCCCAAAAGACACTGTACTCACACTTCTCATGCAAAAGTTTTGTGAAGTCTTAGAAATATCTTTGAGCCGTAATAATTAAAAACTTACACACAGGCTCTGGATCAGGCTATAGAGAAGAAAGGTTCATAATTTCCACTATGACCCTCTCATTCCTCCTCCAAAAACAGCAGCAGGACTCTGCCTGGCAGCAGATACAGTTGATGGCGATCAACTCATCATATAGTTGAGCCTTGTCAGCTCAAACCCAGGCAATTATTTTTAGCAGGACCAGGCTATGGCAATGTCAATGGACCCGACACTCAGTAAAGGAAACTTGCAGCTTATGTGAGTTGAAGTTGCCACTTCTTTAGGAGCACAAATGTGTTATATTAGCTCAGGCAGTGGTCCGGTCAGCTGAACACTTTTTCTAAGTGCATCAACAGTAGATGTTTCATAGATGAATACAAAAATATAGTACAAGTTAACATCTGCTACAGAGCCTCACTGAGAATGACCACTGCAACAGCAACTACCCATCCCTTAAAGGATTATAATGGACATTTGTGAAATAGCCATGATTTTCCTAATCACATTCATGAGGGACTAACATGAATGTTATCTCATCTAGAAACACCTGGACCTTTGCCCTCTGCCACTTGATATTAAAAAATTAAGTAGAATTTTCTTCACTCTCTTTTAAACAGAATACAAACCACAAGTTTTAAAAAAAAATATGTTTAGGAGAAACATGAGAAGAAGCAGCATTTACCAGAATTACCATGGTCCAGAAAATTGTCTCCTGCGCTACAGGCTCCAATCCTGGCAATTCTGGTGGAAGGACTTTCCTGCTCTCACAGAGCTCAGGGAGGAAAAAAATAATCCTTTACCCACCAAGCAATGTCTATAACAAACTTTCAGGAAAAAATCCCAAGGAAAAAGAGAATTTCAGGCTCAGTGTCTCCAGCAATGTTACCCACGGTGACATCCCTATTCACGCGATCAGCGCTTGTTATGGTTCTCCCTGTACTATATGGACAGTCCTGCTGCTAATCCCCCAAGGAAAAACTGGAAGTTACTAGTGACTGATGTTTCTTTCTCCACAACACTAAACATGTTTGATTTTATTTTGTTTCAAAGTTTCATTTATCCATAAACAACTAGCCTTTTATTTTCTTTGTATCTACCACAGTTATGCTTTAGTTTTGTTTTACTTTATCATATAGATTTTTTTCTTTGTTTCATTTTTGGCATGCCACCCTTCCTTATTGTCTTGTCTCTTGTTATAGTGTTATCACACTGTTGACTGGGTCACTAAACATACATGGTACCTACCATATTTCTAAAGCAAGTTCTTAAAATATTTTTTTAAAAATCCATATAATTTTAATTAAAGATATATTTTAATATGTATTTTTGTGAATGATCCCTAGCTACCAACTCATTTTGTTTTATTCTCTAAATTATCACAGCAACATCCAAGTCCTTCAAATGACAAGCTTGTTACAACAGCATTTTATGATCTCCATAAACCTCCACAACATAACAGACAGGAATTTTGAGAACAGAAACTAACATTAACCAAATCAAGTTTCCCATATCTGCCTGTATATTTCAGTTTTTAATTAAAAACCAACTTAATCTACTCTTGCTCCATCTAGAAAGCTACCAAACTCAGAAAACTCCCCATCCAAGATATGTATCTAATTTCTGTGCAAAAACCAAACAAACATAGTGCTTCAGAAAAACAAAGTTCACAGATCTTACTGACAATCCACTAATAAATGGGGGGGGTAAGCTCACACATGCCACTGAACTGTGTATAAAACTTAGCTTCAAAATACAAAGAGCACATTTAATGTTCTTCATACAGCAAACAGGACACAAGCAACTTTTCAGTCCTCCTTGCATTCAACACCAACAACATCCTCCACCCCCCGCCCCAAACCACTAAATTATAGTTTGAAATGCTCAGTCTAGCTGAACTTGTTAGCTGTCTATTCTGATGCACCTTCTCTAAAGAAGTTACCTAGAGCTGCATCCCAGTGCTGCTGTCACAGTTTTTGCTTCTCTAATAATTGTTAAATCTCCAATCTTTTCACATTGCAATTCACTGATTTTTTCTGCTGACCTTTCATTTTCCAAGCCGATCTCTAAAATTTCCCTTTACATTCAAAACAAGTTTCCTGTGGTTTCCCCAGTTAGAGGAACACTTTGGTTTTTACTTCCCTTCAAGATAGGTCCAGTTTCTTTTGGGGATGGGGAGCTAATACTCTTTTAAGCACATTTCAAAGTGCATTATTTCACATTAGTGAGCTCCTCCTAAAACATCTTCCCTTTATTTGGTTTCAGAAGCTTCAATTGCCAGTGAAATCAATGGCAGTCAGCCCACTGGCTTCACAAAATGTTAAGAGTATCTCACCGCCGTAGCATTCAGAAGCTATAGCTACATATTGCTTCTGTAGGTGTCATTGTCAGAGCGAGAGAGGACACACGTTTCTAAAGCAGCTCAATTCATAAAGAAGTATCACATCACAACGGCTAACAGATGCACTGATATTTAGATATTTATTAGTAAGTAATTTCAGCTATACCATGCCAGTGAACCTATCATTTTTAAGAGCAGATAAGTTCTCCACATATAACTTAGCCACAGAAAAAGATATTTGAAGGAAGCACCTGTCCAATCATATCTAATACATACTACCATAAGTCCCCTATAAACCGAACACATTTCACCTTTATGTTATGAAGTGGTCTGTCTCTGCTGTTCACCCCAGAAAGTTGCACTAGCACCTCACTGTCAACATATACAAACTTTTTTCCAGATTACATGTGTTCACAGTCATTTAGTACTCTCTGCTTTCTTTTATGGCTTGTATAAAGACACCTGTACAAGAACGGTGAGCCTATCTGTACCTGTTTCAGTCTGAGTATCTCCTTTTCCAACACCGGCAACCAGGATGAGGTACAATATCCCACACGGGCTCCAGACTGCTTTCCACAGGAACACTCACTGCCAAATTACAGTAATTCTAAAATTGCACTCACTTTTCCCCTTGTCACTTCACCCCGGTAGTCCACATTTATTTTGTGATTAACTAGAATATCAAGAATTTTCTGCTGTCATTTACAGTTTATGATCTTCCAATTTTTAGCAAAAGCACATTTAACTTGTGCCATGTTTTACCCCAGTTGTTTCATTCCATATTTCCTAATCTTCCCGCATGATATAAATCTCCACAGAGATGATACTTCCACTCTAGCATAGTAATGAAGTTTCCGTAGAACAATGTTACTTTCTGTGTTATGACCAGGAACTAATAACTATAATGGATGGAAAAAACAGCCAGCCAGTCCCAAAACTGATCCCAGAAGGCACACTATTAGTTAGAAATTATTAGGTACGCTATCATCACCTGTCTTAAATACATTACCATTCTTGTATTAAACTTCATCTGAATAATTTTTAATGCTCTACGAAACATTTTACTGAAATTCAGAGAAACTTATGACTGACCTTCACAATGGGTTGATACCGGTAATGCTGCGCAAAGCCTCTCGCATACTAACGCATTGGCAGGGCCAAGCTCAGGTCATGTCATCCTGCACTCAGCTCCAGGATTCAGAACTGCATTTACCTGCTCCACCTCTAGGACGCTAGTTTGGGATACAGAGACTAGAAGCACTTCAGCATCTGTCCTCCACTGTTTGCTACTACTTTTAGTTGAGGCACTTAAGTTCCTAGAGTGCTTCAATTAGATTTTTAATTCAACCCCCCCCCCGCCATTTTACTGCAAAATCAAGCAGGATGAGCTAAAATCACTTCCAAAACTGATGTTAATGTGATGGCTGATTGCTCTGTGACCTAAAATTCTTTTATTCAGTTATGCTGGTTTTGTCATTGGGGTACAACAGTGGTCTTTTTTTTTTGATGGGGAGGGAAGGCAACTCCTACGAAGATCCATCATTTGCTGTCAAGTTAGACTGTGTCATGCTCTTACCAAAACATGGCATAACCCATGACCAACCTTCTCATTCTCAAGCAGCAGGCAGTACTAGGTTATAATAGAAAAACTCAAGTACTGGAGATCACCTCTGTGCCTTTTTTCCATACCACACCAGGGACAGAACCCCTAGGACAACTGGTACAGGCTGGCTCATGCCCACAACACCCTTGGGGCAGCACCTTTCACGGCACATTGCTCACAACTACAGCACTTGGTGCTCATAGCCCAGGTCCCTCAGCTGTGCCTATGGTAGCAAGTAGCATACTGCAACAGGAGCAAATTTGCAGAGCAGAGCAAAGCAGGTAGTGCTGAGGATCCAACATTCACACCGCATGTTTTGGAGGGGACTGGGGGGGGGGTCTAGTGCCACAAACTGAACACCCCTTGTTAGAGTGCATCACATACATACATTTCTGGAGTGCACCCTCCAGCTGAATTTCATCCAAAAGGAATTTAGTGTGCTCCGAGACCACTTTCAAAACAAACTAAAGCATAGCACAAGGACATAAGGGATGATCAGAAGATACATGTCCAAAGCCCATTCTTGATCTGAAGTGAAATGCTTGTACAGGTGCACCCCTGTGGTCCCAAGAGGCATGCCTAGAGCACTAAGACTTAATTTTTTATGGTTATTCACTTTGACTTACACAAAAGTGAGAAAACTACATTGCAGCCTCCCACTATGATGCTTTTAGAGCACGAACAGGAGCATGTGCTGCATGTCCTGGGATGTGCAAGAGAATTTGAAAGTGCAATGCCTACTAAAATGCAGGACTGTCTGAGCAGTGATAGCCAAAACAATACAGTTCAGGTCTCTTCTCATCAACCAGTCAAGGAAGTTTAGGTTTCCTATAGAAGGTAGGTAATCTGGTTCACTCCAGATGGGAGCGTGAAAATGAACTAGCACGTGTGAGATGAGAATAATCATGGTACCAGGACGCTAGACTAAAATGAGGTGCAAGATAAATTCACAATCAGAACAGTCCAAACCATGAAATACTTGAATTCTCTCTACAAGAAGATTACATGCAAACAAGTGCTAATGAAGGAGGGGATTGGGAAAGTGAAGCACTGTTTTCTTTTATGATGTAGGCCTTTCAAAACATTAGCTAGAAACTTACGCGTTGTCTTCCAGCTTGATGTTCAGTTGCACTCTGAATAACACCAAGTTTGGGGTCTGATCCTTTGGCAAGACCGCTTTTTGGGTAGTCAGATGCCATGACAATTGTGAGGAACTTCAAAAGGGCCTCTTAAAAATAAGGGAGTACACAAAAAGGTGGCAGATGAGCTTCAACATAGACAAAAGAAAGATAAGGCAACCAGAGAAAAATAATAATTTATGGGTACGCAATGCTGAAACTGGAATTAGAAGTTACAACTCAAGTAACAGATCCTTAAGTTAACACTTACAGTTCTCTAAAATCACCAACTCAATATGCAGCTGCAACAAAAAAAGAGACAATGAAACATTGGCCATCATCAGGAACCCAGAGAATAAAAGCAAGTGTCATTTTCAAACTATAAATAAAACTTTGGTGCCCCCACATCTCAAGTACTGTGTGCACTAGTCTTCACACCTTAAAAAAGATGTAGCGGAATTAGAGGGGGTAAAGAGAAGGACAATGAAGAAGACAAAGAGAATGAAGCAAGTAGAGATTAAGGTGGGTGAGATTATTCACTCTTGAGGAAAAGGCTGCAGGTGGATTTGGTTGAGCTTTACAACCATAAAGGACAAAATGAGTGGAAACTGTTATTCACCAAATCCTGCAACGCTAAAACTAGGAGCAGTCTCTTAAGGCAGATTGGTTTCAGGCAGATAAAAGTAATAATGTACTTCACTATGCAGCAAGCAGGGAACTTCCCGATCTTGCTTCCACAAGAGGTTTTGGAGGCAGACAGTGTAAGTTGGGTCAGAAAAGTATTCAATAAATTCACAGACAATAGGTCTATAAATGGATATTTAATAGGACTAGGCAGAGTTGTACTTCTAATATCCCAAATATAATTCTGGATACTGGGGGATGACAAAGGCATGAGACTGCAGACAGTGACAAGGCTGACCTGCTTTCCCTAAATAGCCTCTCCTACCACCGTTGGGCTAGATGAACCATCAGTCTGATCCACTGGGGCACTTCTTATGGTAGTGGTGAGCATACTTTAAGGAGAGGGAGGAACCTCCAAAAAGGCAGAAACACTTCATAAGCTTTTTAAAAAATTTCACATTCCCCATTTTCAGTAAAAGTCTTATAGAGAGAAAAACAAAAGTTTTCATTCACTTTTCATAAAGTAATCTTCATTTTGTCATATATTCACAAGGCAATCTCCCTTCCAAAGTGTAAAGGAAGCCCAAACCAAAAAAACAAAAATACACCCATTTTCAACATTCCCGCGAGGCTTTCCAACACCCACAGGT